TTATTTTTTTTGTGTTTATACACAAATGTTTTGCCTTTCATTTCTATATTAAACTGAATGGGATATTTTACAAGATGATAGTATACATATACTTTAACTCAAAACAAAAAGTTTTGTGTTATTATAGCCACTTGCCGCCCAGCCACTGTAGATATACGGTGGCAGGGCGGCACTCGCAGGCAAAACCACGTTTTAAAACGTGTTTTGTAAACAGCTAGGGGGCGCGCGCGAGGCACGCCGCCGCCCTATCTGTCCCGCCGATCACCGCCGCAGATGTGAGTCGCCGGGTCACAGCCGGTCCTTACCGGCTGTTTCCCGGCGATCGGCGGCAAACAGTGACAGAGAGCACAGCTGCAGTAGCTGTGCTGTCTGTCACTTCCCTGTCAGCTCGAGGATGAGCTGATCGAGAAAGAACAGTTTCTCTTTCTCGATCAGCCTTGTCCCGTCCAGTACACACCCCCGCCCCCTAGTAAAACACTCCCCTCACTCCTATAACCCTTCCCTGCAAAATAAAGTTAACCCCTTCCTCTCCATTGCCATTAGTACAGTGTCAGTGTTTTTCTTTTTGCACTGATCACTGTATTATTGTTTTTGGGGATGTCAGTGACCCCAAGTCAGTACCCCCCAATGTCAGAATGTCCGCCGCAGTCCCGCCAGTCGCTGGTCGCTGCCATAAGTCCCTGATCGCCGCCATAATTCGCTGATCGCCGCCATTATTAGTATAAAAAAACCCTAAAAATCCCAGTACCTTTCCCGCCATTTGTAAACGCTATAACTTTCACGTAAACCAATTAATTTACACGTATTGGGTTTTTTTTTTAGCAAAGACATGTTGCAGAATGCATTTTGGCAGAAATTTATGACTAAATTAGATTTTTGCCTTTTTCTTTTACTGGACATATTTTATAGCAAAAAGTCCAAAATATTGTTTTTTTTTTCCTCAAAATTGTCAGCCTTTTTTTTTATAGTGCAAAAAATAAAAACCGCACAGGCAATCAAATACCACCAAAAGAAAGCTCAATTTGTGGGGAAAAAAAGGATGTAAATTTCATTTATGTACCATATTGCATGACCGCGCAATTGCTCGTTAAACTAGCACAGCGTTGTATAGCAGAAAAATGGCGTAAATTGCAGTATTTATACCATAGTTTGTAGACGCTATAACTTTCACACAAAGCAATCAATATACACTTATTGGGATTTTTTTTACCAAAAACATGGAGCAGAATACATTTTGGCCTAAATTTATAACCAACTTTGAGTTTACTATATATTTTTTATAGCTGAAAGTAAAAAATATTGTTTTTCTTAAAAATTTTTGGCCTTTTTTTGTTTATAGCGTGAAAAATAAAAAGCGCACAGATGATCAAATACCACAGAAAGAAAGCTCTATTAGTGTGAAAAAAAGGACGTAAATTTCGTTTGGGTGCAGCATTGCATGACTACGCAATTATCAGTTGAATTAGTGCAGCGCCGAATAGCAAAAAGAGGCCTGGTCATTAAGGGGGGTAAATCCTCTGGAGCTCAAGTGGTTAAAAAACATTTACAAATGTTCATTTTGCCTAAAATACCATGAAAATATACAATTTTGTCTTGAATTTTTCCTAAAAAATAGTAGTGCACTTTCCGGTATGTGAGGGTGCCTGGGCCCTCTGGAGCCAAAACTGTGCAGTGTAAATTGAAGGGACGCTGCCTCTGACTGCTAGTCTCAGGACATTTGAAGTGAAAGTTGGTGATGCCACTATTGTGCTGCTCACTGTTTTTCTTGCTTGTTCTTCCTCACACCCCTGTCTCCTTGTTTGTGGGAGTCTGTAGGCGGGGACTGATTGGAATTTGGAAGTCCTCTTTAACAAGAAGGGGGCACCCAGATACCACACCTCTATGTGGATGAGTAAGGGATCCTGTGACATCCATGATTTAATATGGTCATGTGCATATATGGTCAATGACATCCCCCAGGGAGAGACTGCCCCTTTGTACATATCAGTCATCTGCCAGACCAGTCATTTGGTAGGAGTGAAGTGACAGGACCAGACTTGTGTCAGCAGGCACTGTCTATTTTTCTTTTGGTGGGCGTCAGGCATCATGATTAACATAGCATGTACATCATAGGACTTTTACTACAGGACTTGTCAAGGGCTTTTTTTTGTAAATGAGTAGGGGTACAATGTATTCCTTAGTCATTCAATGGGGGGGGGGAGTATCTGTATCTTGTGCCCTCTTATTGTTAAAGGGGGCTTTCAAATTCTGATAAGCCCCCACCCACAGACCCCCTACAACCATTGGGCCAGGTTTGTGGGGAAGAGACCCTTTGGGACAAGGTCCTCTGACAGATATCCCCTCGATTTTGAGGGCATGTGGTCTGGTATGGTTCAGGAGGCCGGCCAGGCTGCATGCTTGAATAAGGGTCTGTTGTAGGAAAAAAAAAAAAAAATTTCTGCATAATTGCTGGGTTTCTTGGCCATCGAAGTGAATGAGGCCTGTGACAAAATTGATTGTGTAGGGACATGGTGGTGCCTACATCTGCCGACATCCACTTGCCCTCCAGACGATTTACCCCCCTTCCTGGCCAGGCCATTTTTTCCGATATGGCGCTGCGTTACTTTAACTGACAATTGCGCGGTCATGCATTGCTGCAGCCAAATGAAATTTATGACCTTTTTTCCCCACAAATAGAGCTTTCTTTCGGTGGTATTTGATCGCCTGTGTGCTTTTAATTTCTGGCACTATAAACAAAAAAAGACCAACAATTTTGAAAAAAAAAAAAATTATTTTTTTAGTCTATTAAACATGTCCAGCAAAAAAATTTAAAAACTCAAATTTCATCGTAAATTTAGGCCAAAATTTATTCTGCTACATGTCTTTGCTAAAAAAAAAATCCCAATACATGTAAATTAATTGGTTTATGTGAACGTTATAGCGTTTACAAATGGCAGTATATATACTGGATTTTTTCTTTTACTAGTAATGGCGGCGATCAGCGATGTTTAGCGGGACTGCAGGACTGCGGCGGGCATTCTGACACTGGGGGGAAACTAACTTGGTGTCACTGACATCCCCAGTGACACCAATATTGTGATCAGTACTAATAAAAAGCACTGACACTGTACTAATGTCACTGGGCAGGAAGGGGTTAACCTGTGGGGCGATCAAAGGGTTAACTGTGTGCTGTATGCTGTTTCACTTTGTGCTGTGTGTGTGTTTTCGACTGTAACCACACTGCTATGCAGGGCTATACAAAGCAGTGTTCAGGAGCTGACAGGGGAGAGATCTGTGTTTATACACAGGTCTCTCCCCCTTTGGTAATACTCGGAGATCACCGGGTGCCAGCGGGGAATCAGTGGCCAGGACCTGGTGATTGACAGCTGAGGCCGCAAACATTTTGCGCACCCGTGCCGCCCTGTAGCAGTATTTCTGCTATAGGGCGGCACAGAAGAGGTTAACAATCATTGACAGCGGGAAGCTGTCATGTATAATAGTAGGGGTAATACCACTATTAAACATGGCCATGTTCGGGAATTTGTCCGAATGCCCAAACAACTAAGCTTTGGCCCGAACTTGTTTTCCTACCAAGTAAGCTCATTCTGATTGTAGCAACCATATTTTTCACACATAACATGTCTACAGGCCAGGGGCGGACTGACCATTTGACCGTAGGGGGCCCCATGAGATGCCCCTGGTACCTTTCATAGGATTTTTTGGGTGTGGTTTGAGTGTGGGCTAGGACACAGGGGCCCCATGATCCCCTATTGCCCGGGGGCCTCATGAGTTGTCAGTCCGCCCCTGCTACAGGCTAATCTGTTTGCACAGACAGTAACATTAAATATTGTGAACGCACGCAAGGCAAGACTGGGTTGGATCTTAAATACGACAGTTTTTTAAAACACAATAAAATCTTTCTCACTTGAAAAACGAAGTGAAGCATTTACTTCCTTTACTCTCCGAAGGGTGCAGGTGCTCTTTAAACACAAAGATACTTACATAACCCTTCCAAATTTCAGCAATATTTTTAAATGTTTATGCTGAAACAGTATACCTAACCCGTAATAATTTGTAATAATGTAGAATATTTGTATAGACTTACAGGCATTTTATTATAATTTATCTTCCTACTTTCCCAATTACTCAAAGAGATTGTGTTTGTTAAATGTATTCATTGGTAACATAGCCTGGAACTCAAATTCATTACATTAGCTTCCAATTTATCCAGCACAAAATTAAGGATATGCTTCAAAGACGTTTTTCTTTTTATTTACTATAACTAGTTGAGCTGTCTTAGTGGAATATGATCTCGTTGCCTACTTAATGAGTTTTGGACTATAAAGTTGTCACAACACTGCAAAGATAAGTGGTTTTCAGTAACAGAAACAAAAATGTTTTGTGTTAAAATAGAACTCCTGCCAAAACATTTTCAGTTTTAAATACAGTAAGAAAAGTATACCGAGTCGGATTTTTATTGCTGTTTGTGACCCCACTGGGGAGATTTCTCTGCACTTTCTGTTCTGGTTGTAAGCGGGTGCTTCCAAGGGATTTACTGCATTCTGTGTGTTTTTTTTTCTATGTTTTTGACTAGTGTGGTTATGATTACCTTGTTTGGATTTCTTTTCTAAAACTGTATTTTCTAGTGTAAATTAAGTGCACTGTTTAGTTGTGCTTGCCTTGCTGAGGTGGTACTCCCTGTGACACAGGTGTCAAACTGGCAGCCCTCCAGCTGTTGCCAAACTACAAGTCTCATGAGGCATTGCAAGATTGACAGTTACACGCATGACTCCCAATGGCAGAGGCATGCAGGGACTTGTAGTTTCGCAACAGCTGGAGGGCCGTCACTTTGACACCTCTGCACTAGAGCTTTCCCACATCAATCATTAGGATGAGTGTTGCAAACTTTTCTCAGTGAACACATTCCCTACCCACAAGGCCTTCCCCATCACCTTTAAACACCACCTGGCTTGGCCAAGGCAAGACAGTCTTGAAGGCCGGGCGGGTTATTTTTTTCCCAGCGATCACAATACATGGCAAACTCCTATCTTTGTGCACAATCATGGTGCTCTGTAGAAAGTAATGGCCCTATTTGATACATTTATTTTATTTTTTATTTATTACAGGTACTTATAAAGCTCCGTTAATTGACGCAGAGCTTTACAGAGGCATGATGGGACTTGGGAGGTAGGGATTAACACTGCTGGTCAGGTGTTTCAGTGCTTTTTGGGGAAGTACTGCCCTCTGCTGGGGCAAACACATAAAAAAGGGAGAGAACCACCTCTCAGGGGCGCTTCAGTAAGTAAGATGGCTGGAGGTACGGCTCCAGGTCTCCCAACTTAAAGCAGAGCTCCACCCAAAAGGTGAAGTTCCGCTTTTAGGACTGCTCCCCCACTCCCCATTAAGGATTGGCACCTTTGGGGGGCAGGGGGGAGCAGTTACCCGAATTTGACAGGTACCGGCTACCAATTGCGGTCGGACCGCCTAGGTCAGTGATGGCGAACCTTTTTGAGCCCGAGTGCCCAAACTGCAACCCAAAACCAACTTATTTCTTTCAAAGTGCCAACACTGCAATGAAACCTGAATATCGAGCTTTTGGTTTAGAAAAAACAACTCGTACAGTAGTGCAAACTAATTAACAGTACAGGGATGACCAGAGACTGCGGACACAGTACAGGGATGACCAGAGACTGCGGACACAGTACAGGGATGACCAGAGACTGTGGACACAGTACAGGGATGACCAGAGACTGCGGACAGTACAGGGATGACCAGAGACTGCGGACAGTACAGGGATGACCAGAGACTGCGGACACAGTACAGGGATGACCAGAGACTGCGGACACAGTACAGGGATGACCAGAGACTGCGGACACAGTACGGGGATGACCAGAGACTGCGGACACAGTACAGGAGATGACCAGAGACTGCGGACAGTACAGGGATGACCAGAGACTGCGGACAGTACAGGAGATGACCAGAGACTGCGGACACAGTACAGGGATGACCAGAGACTGCAGACACAGTACAGGGATGACCAGAGACTGCGGACAGTACAGGGATGACCAGAGACTGCGGACACAGTACAGGGATGACCAGAGACTGTGGACACAGTACAGGGATGACCAGAGACTGCGGACAGTACAGGGATGACCAGAGACTGCGGACAGTACAGGGATGACCAGAGACTGCGGACACAGTACAGGGATGACCAGAGACTGCGGACACAGTACAGGGATGACCAGAGACTGCGGACACAGTACGGGGATGACCAGAGACTGCGGACACAGTACAGGAGATGACCAGAGACTGCGGACAGTACAGGGATGACCAGAGACTGCGGACAGTACAGGAGATGACCAGAGACTGCGGACACAGTACAGGGATGACCAGAGACTGCAGACACAGTACAGGGATGACCAGAGACTGCGGACAGTACAGGGATGACCAGAGACTGCGGACACAGTACAGGGATGACCAGAGACTGCGGACACAGTACAGGAGATGACCAGAGACTGCGGACAGTACAGGGATGACCAGAGACTGCGGACACAGTACAGGAGATGACCAGAGACTGCGGACACAGTACAGGGATGACCAGAGACTGCGGACACAGTACAGGGATGACCAGAGACTGCGGACAGTACAGGAGATGACCAGAGACTGCGGACAGTACAGGAGATGACCAGAGACTGCGGACACAGTACAGGAGATGACCAGAGACTGCGGACACAGTACAGGAGATGACCAGAGACTGCGAACAGTACACGAGATGACCAGAGACTGCGGACAGTACAGGAGATGACCAGAGACTGCGGACAGTACAGGGATGACCAGAGACTGCGGACACAGTACAGGAGATGACCAGAGACTGCGGACACAGTACAGGGATGACCAGTGACTGCGGACAGTACAGGGATGACCAGAGACTGCGGACAGTACAGGGATGACCAGAGACTGCGGACATAGTACAGGGATGACCAGTGACTGCGGACAGTACAGGGATGACCAGAGACTGCGGACAGTACAGGGATGACCAGAGACTGCGGACAGTACAGGGATGACCAGAGACTGCGGACACAGTACAGGGATGACCAGAGACTGCGGACACAGTACAGGGATGACCAGAGACTGCGGACACAGTACAGGGATGACCAGAGACTGCGGACACAGTACAGGAGATGACCAGAGACTGCGGACAGTACAGGGATGACCAGAGACTGCGGACAGTACAGGGATGACCAGAGACTGCGGACAGCACAGGGATGACCAGAGACTGCGGACAGCACAGGGATGACCAGAGACTGCAGACAGTACAGAGATGACTGCTGACCTTTGGGGAGGGAGGGGGAGCGGGTACCTGAATTTGACAGGTACCCGCTCTTACTTCCGCAGAGTTTTTTTTTATCTTACCTGTTCCTTTATCCAGCCGCGCGCTGTCTTCCCGGCTTCTGTAGTGTGGGCGCTCGTCGGACAGCCGGATGCCCAGTGCGCATGCGCGAGAAGCGCTGCGCTTTGTGATTGGTCCGGCGGCTTCTGGGATCTGTCATGTGTCCCAGGTACCGCCTTACCATTCACAAAGAGCACTGCTTCTTGTGCATGCGCACTTGGGACCCGGCTGTCACGCACACTACAGCCGGGAAGACAGCGCGGCGCTGGATTCTCCTAGCGTGCCCACAGATAAGGCTCGGCGTGCCGGCTGTGGCACGCGTGCCACGGGTTCGCCATCACTGGCCTAGGTGATTGGAAACAGAAGATGTCCTCCCTCCTTCCCTCCCCGTAGTCTTCTGGGACACGTGACAGGTCCCAGAAGACTACAGGACCATTCATGAAGTGCAGCGCTACTCACGCATGCGCAGTGGGTACCCGGCAGTGAAGTCGCAAGCAGTTACAGCCGGGTGCCCACACTGTAGATGCCGACCTCCAGGAATCCAGGACGGCAGGTGAAATGGGCTGCGGGGGACACACCACGGGACCGAGGGACAGGTAAGTGGCTGTTTTTTAAAAGTCAGCAGCTACAGTTTTTGTAGATGCTGACTTTTATTTTTTGACTGGATGAGTGGAACTCCGCTTTAAGGAACAGAATGCTGCTAAGGATGTGAACTACTTCTTGCACTTCACCCCCCTGTAGGAATCCAGCTCAGGTTCCAGAGATATGGACTTTTACAACTACTAATGATCTTAAGGACTTCCTCACCTTTATATGGTATGACTACCTCAGGGGCATTTAGGGCCACCAGGAGAACAGCTATAGGCACTTAACAGAACATGTATAGCAATGTATATTGAAAATGCTGTGCAAAATGTTTATTTGCAAATTTTCAACAACTTTGGTAAAGATAGTTTATTGTTTTTCAGCTTGGCTTGGTCTAAAGGTACTTGACGACACACTTCAAGAAGTGCAATAAATGTATAGCGTATCACAAAGAAATAAGCGTGAAGCTTGATAAGTGGATAAGATGAGATAGAGAAGATACAACACCTTACAGTCCAACGTGCGGAGAAGCAGTCAGCTGGTCAGGAAGCTATTGGTTGACTAATGTAACAGAGGCCTTGGCAGTGAAGGAGCTTTTGTGCTTAGGCGACCAGAATCCCAATACTGGGTCCAACCTCGAGGCATGGGGTGTCCTAGGGACCCAGCCTAGGAGTCACTCAAAAAGTAATGAGACTTCGGGAGAAGAGTAAGCACAGGTTAAGTAGAGTACAGCTTCCTATTATTCATGTGAACCATACAAATTGATGTCACTGGGAGTGAGGTGACCGGTTAGTAGGTTGGTGGAGTCCCTTACAGGCTCAGCAGAACTGGGTCAGAAATGCTGCAGAATACAGAGAGAGAGGTGTTAGGAAGTGTATTGAGAAACTGTATCCACAGTACATAGAGTGTAATAAGGAACTGATGTCTGTAGTGAAGTGTAAAGAGTACAGAAGTTTGTCTTCTTTTCATCATATGCACAATTTGAATTGCTCAGAATTGTAACAAGTTACTGTAAATGCATTGCATTTGTATGTTCTCTGTGTGTTTGTGTGGGTTTCCTTTGAGTACTCCAGTTTCCTCCCACGCTCCAAAATCATGCGGGTAGGTTACTGTAATTGGCTCCTGCCTAAATTGCCCCTAGTATGCACATACTGTATGTGTACATGTTAGATATTGCAGGACTATGGAGAACAAACATAGCCACCCTCTAGCAGAAGTCAGATCACAGCAGTAAAGAAAAGGAATTTGGAAATTTTAATGCAGATGAGAGTAATGAAAGGCAAGTTCTTGAGTTAAGAATACATACTTTAATACAATTTTTTTAGACCAATGTTCAGTGTCACTTTAATTATGTTGACCGTATAATTAATATGCTAGCTAATTGGCTGTTGTACTGATCCAATAGCTTTAATACTTTATGAATGACATGGAACATGCATGCAGTCCGGGAGTTTTGTTACTACTACGTATGTGTGGGAAGGTGCAGTGTGGTGATGTGGTAGCAAGAACAGAACTTCAAAGTCCAACTTTACAAACAGCCTTCCCACCGGGAACATTCAAAGGTTGTAATAGCAATGTGAAATGGAGCAGATCTTGGATGTGCTGACAGCGTTTGCCTCAGAGGGTGTAATGCGGCCTGGCCGGTCTGTACTCAAATGGGAGGAATCCAGAGAGGATGTCACATCCCTAGCCTGTCCCTACTCATCTGGAACCTTAGATTATAAGCTCCTCGAGGGCAGGGACTGATATGAATGTTCATATGTATGTAAACCACTGTAATACATAAGTAAAACTTATCTTTAAAAAAATTATTTTCAGGTGAACCTAGAAGTCATCGCTACCATCAAGATGATTTATCCATTGGTGTAGTGCTTCCAGGTACCATACCTAATTGCCTTTAAAGCCTACGTTTAGTTATTTTTTTGAAATCAGCACAAGGGACAATACTTACCTTCGATGAGAAGTGTCCCTTGTGCTGGTGGCTGCTATCTTGAAATCTTTCATCCGTCTCCACCCATTACTCCCATAGCTGTAGCCTGCTGGTGCTGGCAAATAAATAAAAAGTCTGCCTCCTCCATTCATAGAGTGTGTTTCACTGATGGAAGCTGAAGTACAGCTTCTATGAATGGAGGAGGAGGGTGAAAAAGGTGGGGATTGTTGGAAAT